TCTAAAAGAATCAATGGAAAAAATGTCCTTGGGTGAAGATTAACACACACACACACACACACACACACACACACACACACAAGAATGGTGCTGTCTAGATATCCATATTGAAAAAAATATAAAACTCAATCCTGAGCTCCTGCTATACTCCAAAATCAATTACAGGTGGGTCATGGCCCCAAATGTAAAAACTAAAATTAAAATCCTAGGAAAGAAAAACATAGAAGGATATATTTGTGAACTTAGGATAAGTAAAATTTTATCAGAGAAGACATAGAATTAATCGTAAAAGAAAAAAATGATAAATTGAACTTGAAAAAAACTTGCAGCCAACTTCTTGTCATTCATCCTCAACTGAGTGTGCCCTTCTCAGAGACTCTCCCTGACCCTCCTGTTCCCGTCTGTCACCCCACTTTGGCTATGGCTCTGTCATTATAGAAGGACTCCCATCGGCTTAGCTTGCCCCAGTCAATAGCCCAGGGAGGCCTGTCCCAAGAGACACGCTGGGCCAGCCCATCCCCTCATCTTGTGCAGCGAGCAGCACCTGTGCCCCGCAGTCCCTGGACCCCCTCATGACCCCGTGAGGACGGCTTCTCTGGGGCTGCCTGGCTGCCTCTGGACAGAGCCTCCTCTGCCTCACCTGTCTTCCCTAGTAGCCCTGGCCAGCGCCACTGCATAGACTCTGGCCTGCCAGGGACCTTCAGAGAGACAGAAGCCCCAAGGGCAGGCAGGCAACTCAATCAGACAAGGGCTCTAACTGCAGCTGGAATTCCCTTTTCCCAAATCTTTGTGTATCCAAACCTGGCTTGCCCTTTAAATTTATATGTCACCACCTCTGGGAGGCTTCTATGATTGCCCCCAGTCAAAAGTAGCATTTCTTTCTCTGACCTCCACCAGCAGAGAGGGCAGTGGCTAAGAGCTTGGGGCTCAGTTTCTCTGTGTGTAAGGTGGGAATGTGAGGACTGAGCTGACCCAGGTAAAGCTCCGGCACCATCCTGGCACACAGTAGGCACTCAATAAACATCAGCTGTTCATCATGATGTTGTGGTCTCCCCCTCCACCCAGGCAGGACCACAGCTCCCTCAAGCTCTGGCACACAGTAGGCATCTACTGACTGCTCACCCGGGTGACCAGCAGGTGGCCCCACACCCTAATTAACCTGCCCTGACCAGCTGCTCGGAGCCCCAGGAAATTGGTTCCCTTGAGTCACCAGCTGCCTTCTCCTGGTCAGGGGAACAGAGCGAGTGGATCCGGGAGAGTCCTGGCAGCTGGCAGGTCACCTACCAGACACTTAGGCTGCATTGGTGAGCAAGGTCTTTGGACTTAGCTACCCCTCTCCCCTTTCCCCACAGCCCTGCCCACCTGGTGAGGATTACACCCATTTAAGAGATTAGAAAACTGAGGCCCAGCAAAGTGTTTGATATGCCTGAGACCACAGAGTATTCCCACAACCTGTCAACTATCTGGCCCTGACTCACCAATGTCTCATTTTACTGATGGGGAACCTTAAAAAGTGGAATAGCCCTGCCCAAGGCTTCATATAAACCAACGCTGAGGTCTCCCGGCTCTAAACAAAATAACCCCCAACACAGGGTGGGCGGTGGGCTTCCCAGACCCTTCCCTGCCTGCTGGCCTCCACTCCAAGGGGTAAACATGCAGGCTGCCCAAAGGGGCAAAGGGCAGAGTTTTACCCTGCTGGGTGTGGGGGCAGCTGTGAGGATGTACTAGGGATGCAAAGGCTCAGCCAAGGCAGCCAGGTCCAGAAACAGCTACCCAGGACCTGTGTCTGCTCCCCTTTCCTGCCAGAGAGAGAGCTTCCAGCACTCCTGGAAACCTCGAGACCCCTGCAGGGGCTGTGACACACTGCATTTTGAGGCCCAATTGTGATGCCGCAGCAGAGGGGCTGAATAGAGGGCGGAGAGGGGCTGGTGTGGAATAGCAATGAGCCCAGCCACTGGAAGTCAGCCAGCACCAGGTTTGCAAGACAGAGAACTCTGCTGTCAGCTGGGTCAGGGGGAGCGTCCCTGGGAAGAAATATCGTGCATGCGAGCACACACACACACACACACACACACACACACACACATGCACACGTGTGAATACACCTCTTACAGATTCTTTATTGAAAGCTCCCAGGCAAGTCATATGGAGCCCACACAAATGTCTGCGTCTGAAAAGGCTGATTCCAACGTGTGGCCACTTGGCTTCTTAGCTCACCTGATACCAGATGCCTGTCAGAGATTTGCTCCCACTTCACAGAAAGCCACACTGAGGTCCAAAGAGGGTGACGTGGCCAGGCAGTGGCCAGCCTCAGAGCCTTGGTTTTTGAGAACTGCACCTGATGCCCGAGATCTGGGGGTCCAGTCCTGGGCTGGGCTTGTCGCTAGTCCAGGCTCCTCATGGGCTCTTCTTGGAAGTAACCCAGTGGACTGGAGACTTGGGGGCAATCCCTCCATCTTCTCCTCTGTTAACTACCTCTGCTGCACACCCCACCCCACTTGGGCACAGGAGGAGGCCTGCCCTCTCCCCTACCACAGCAGTGGACAAGCGTGGCCAGTGGGAATCCTTCCCTGGGGTGGGCAGGCAGGCAGACACCCGAGGAGATGCTGGGACTGCTAAAGCCATGGTCTTGTGTGTGACGGCCATGCTGGTGAAGGAGCAAGGCCAGCCCCCCTGGAGAAGCACAGACAGGCAGAGTTGAGGAGCCCACAGGGCCCCTGCAGCCCTGCGTCAACCTTGTCACCTAACAGGCACACTCCCAGGCACTGGGGTGCATATATTCCCTTTTTCGGCTTAAACTGGCCCATGACACCTCCTTCCCAAGCCACATCCTTCCTTCACAGAGGGTCTCAAGCCTGAGATTCAACATGTGTTTGTGTGATATTTTATTCTTCCCCCTCGTGAGTATGAACTCCCTGAAATGAGACCCGTCCGCGGCTCACAGGGCCTTCCCAGCACAGGGTCTCAGGTACAGTGGGCACTCAGTAGCCAAGGGAAGGAGCCTGGGTCTCTGCAGCTTCGTGACTGCACAGACCCCACCTGCCTTTGCATCTGTGCATTGTCTCACTGGACAGAGTACACAAGGATTGGTCTGAACCAGTCTCCGTGAGGCCCCCAGAGTTCATCTGGGGAGCCAGATGCCCTTCAGAAGGGCAGGCCACCCTCTTTGAAGCCTAAGTCCATATGACGCTGCTCTAGAGCGCAGGCCTTGGGAGTGAGGCCCTGCAGGTGGAGAGAGCCTGATTTCCTGTGTGGAAAATCCCAGAGGTAAGTTTGGGGCTAGATTGCTTTTCCCTCGAGCAACTTCAAGCACTTCTCTCCGTGAAGGCAAAGGTTGCTGGGGTGGCAAATGGGTGCTGGGCACAAGCCATAGGCCAAGCACCCCATTCAGTACTTCACGTGCATCATCCGCCAGAGCCCCAAGATGACTCCCAGGGTGGGCACCACCATCCCCACTACACAGCTGAGGAAACTGAGGAAGGAAAGCTGGAGGACTTGTGCAAGGTCACCCCGCAGAAAGCAGCGCACATCTCAGGAGTGTGAGCCTGTCCCTGCCTTCTAGCATCTCCGCACTTCCCCCACTCCCTGAGGGAAATGGGGGTGGAGGAGGGTGCGCTGCTGCGGAGCCCTTGAGCTCTGTCGGAAATCTGGGAGGTGTCAAGATAGGAGCTGGGGGAATATGCCACAGCCAGGACCCCCCTCGAGGCTGCCCACGAGGGCCCCTCAGGGTTGAGGGCACTCCCGTTGCTGGAGTAGTCAAAAGACAGTCTCCAGCATCCCACCCCCTCCCCTCCCCAACATTCTTGCTGCCAAATGAAATCTGGCAGCTTCTGAAAATAGCTCCGTGCTGCAGCAGGCACTGTGCCTGCCCTTCAGCAGGCTGGCACACAGCTGGGGGTGGCCACTGTGGGCAGACGCTGGCGCACACAGGGCCGGGGGTGGGTGTCACACACATAGCACACCGGGCGGCGCAGGGCAGGGGCATGGGGCAGCTGCCATCCTTCCTCTCTTCTGACCTTCCCATGCCTGGAGAGGCCACGGTGGCCCTCAAGCCAGCGTGGCACGCTCACTGGGTCTTAGAAACCCTCTCCAGGAAGGGTACAATCACTACTGGGTGTGAGTGGCTGCCCTGGGGCCACTTTTGTCCACTCATCTAGACAAAGAGAAACACAGGAACCAGAGGGAAATGGCAAAATTGGGTTTATTAATAGGACGACCCAGCAGTGTTTTCCCATGTGGTCTAGGGTTTCCCAGCCAAAAAAGGGGTGATCAGGGAAGCAGGCTGGGTGTCAGGCACTTGTCAGCCCCCTATCAAGGGCAGTGTGGGGCTGGGTCAGCCCGGACTGGCAGAGAAAAATGTTCTCTCCTCCGACTCAGGCAGGGACCAGACTTTCAAAGCGTCCCTCAGTAGCCCTCCACTGCCTTGGGTCTTACCTGGAGTATAAAAAGGGACCCCTGATGAACAGGGAGCCTCCTGGCCCTGCCCCCAGCCATCTACTCTCACAGTCCACCAGAGTCCACCAGAGCCCACCGGGGCAGAGTGGAGAAGGAACCGTTACGGAGAGAGGCTCTCCTCCCTGGGATCCCGAGAGCAGGTGGGGGCAGAGGAACTGTACCAGCTTTTGTCACAGTGACATTTTCCAAAGTAGAAAAGCGTTAAAAATACCTCCCACCCTCAGCTGAGAGGAGAGGCCACTCTTTGGATAGGGCGTAGTAACGGGAGGGCTGGGCCCAGGGCCTGAGGCGGAAGAGCTCCAAGGCCCTGTGGGATGGGGCTGCAGCAAGATGGGCTGGACTGCCCAGGGGGGCCGGCACACTGACCCTTGGGCCTCTGGAAGACCAAAGAGGCTAGAGTGAGAGGGGAGAAAGACCAACATCCCCGGGAAGGCAAAGGCGGACAGACCCTCAATTGCCCCTCTGCCTCCCTTGCTCGCTCACTCGGCATTCATAGACAGCAACTCTGTCCCTGGTCACCATGGCAACCAATGGCCAGATGCTTTTCCCAAGGCCAGGCCCATCTGCCCAGCCCACGGGGGAGTGTCTGCATAGAAGGAGGGAAGCCCAGCCACAAGTGGCCTAGAAGTCTAAGGCCATTCCCAGGGCAGGACAGAGCCACGGCTCAGGCCACTGTGGATGAAGGCACTGCAGCTGCAGAAGGCAGCTCCCTAGCCCCAGGCACCGCCCCTCTACGGCCTGAGCCTGAACCAGGGCCTTGAGGAGGTGTGGGGTCACAGTCCCCCATCCTGAAGTTTCAAGTGACAAATTAAGACACACAAAAATAGTCCTTTTGTTTAAAAAAGTGACCCTGGGCCCTCTGGGTCAGGGCCTCAGCCCACTCCAGTCTGTCCCCGGGCCCAGAGGCCCAGCTTCTCTGAGGCCCCATGAGCTACTGGTTGTTGCAGCCCTGGGAGGCCGAGCCGCCCGCCTGCTTCTTCCTCCGCTTGTTGAGGAGTCGGTTGTTAGAGGTCTTCAGGTCCTTGATCTTCACCTGGTCGTAGTCCACTCGCATGGTGGCCAGGGCACTGGTCATCTCCTCCTGGGGACAGATGTCAGGATGTGCTGACCTCCGGAGCCATCACCCTCCTCCCTGGGCAGCCCCTTAATGTCAGCGATGGCAATGACAACCTTTGCTGCCCAAGCAGCACTGAGTCCCTCCATCTGCATCACACAAGCCTCCCTACAGTCCTTTGTGGGAGACATCACGCTTATCCACTAAGGCATAGAAAGTGCCTAATGACTCCCTGGGACAACACCAGGGTAGGTAGCACAGGGACCTGGACCAATGTCACCTGCTCAGAACCACAAGGCCAGCAGGGACACTATCTCACAGGACATGCAGGGCACTGGGGCCTGAACATTGTGCCCTGGGAGCCTTGGGGTTCTGAGCTGCTGCCCAATATGCTCCAACCTGGCCTCTGCTGAGTCTAAAACCAGGCTGAACACCCTCCTAAGTGCTGTAGATTATAAGATGGGTTAAGGCCAAAGCTTGGGGTCGAAGCCCCTTCACTGAGCCCCTGGCCCAAAGCCCCCTTAGTTGAGGGAGGGAGCCAGGAGCACCAGCCTGAAGGGGGCAGTGCAGCTCAATGCTGCAGGTGCCACAGTTGGACCACCAGTGTAGTCATCGACACCTTGTGCTCCACCAGCCCGGAGTCTCTTTTTCCAAAACCCTGGCACCTGCAGGGAAACTGAGGCGGGGTTCACCCACCTTGACTTCGTCCCAGTGGTCTTTGTCTTCCTGCAGCACTCGGGCCGTGTGCAGCGGGGTCTGCGGCACCACCATGGATTGCTGGAAGGAGCCCGAGCCCATGGGTTAGAACCTGCAGGCACCTGGGATATCACTGGCTCCCCACTACCCCTTCTTCCAGTCTTAGGTGGGGAAACCGAGGCTCAGGGAGGCGAAGGAGCCTGACCGGAGCAGTGGCAAAGGGAGGTCATAGGTGGGGCACTGCCACACATCTGCGGCCTGCACCAAGGCCTCCTGAGCCACCCTCCTCCTGCCTGGGGGCCCTGCTCGCCACCCTGCCCACCACAGGACCGGGCGGCGCTCACGTTGATCCAGGGATGGCTCATGAACTGCATGATGGTCATCCGCTCCGTGGGGTCCGTCTTCAGCAAGAGGCGGATCAGCTGCTTGGCTGGAGCCGAGAGCATTGTGGTGAGGGCGCAAAGTCCCTCAAAGCCAGCCCCCCCCACTCCCCAGAGACCATAGCTCTGCATGCGCTCCCAAATTCCTAGCCCACGGAAACAGCAAGCTAACAGCTCTCTCGTTGTAAGGCTGTTGGTGTCAGGGGGTCATCTGCTAGGCAGCAGTGAGGAACTGGCACAGGGCTTGTGGTCCCCAAGAGGAAAGTATGAATGAGGCACCAAGAGCTAGAGGAAGTTTTGAGCAGACAAATCTTGAGCCTATTTGACAGGTATAGAAACTGAAGTTCAGCCCAGCTGGGCGTGGCTCAGCGGTTGAGCATCGCCGACCTAGGATCCAGGAGATCAGGGTTCGATTCCCGGTCAGGGTACATGTCCGGGTTGTGGGCTGCAGCCGATCAATGACTCTCTCATCATTGATGTTTCTACCTCTCTCTCTCCCTCTCCCTTCCTCTCTCTGAAATCAATAAAGATATATATATTTAAAAAAAAA